TGTCTCTATACATTAAAATAAACTTACCATAAAAATTACAGACCCTTCATTTCTTTAAGTGGGCAAACTTGCAAAATCAGCAGGGGATCAAAAAATATTTTCTCCACTGTAACTTGTGCTAAATATTATGAAAAATTAGTTTTTTTGCTGCAGTATAGGAGAAGGCACTGCATATACATTTTTTTGCATACAATACATTGCGAGCTTCAGAGCACACAGATAAAACTAGGTCATGTTATCTTATTTTCGGAGCCTGCTGTTTTGGAACACAGTTCTGGGGGTTAATTATAATGAAGCACTTTGACAAGACTTTGCTCAAGCATTTTAGAATTACAAAACTAGCATTTCAGATGGTGCGAAATGAGATTGGTCTGTTGGTTGGTCCAGGTTTATGCTGTCCCATCGCAAATTCACATATCTTTTTTTGATGCGCATTAAGGAATTTATTCAGTAAAAGTGTTTCCATCGTAGTTTATGCGAATATTTTCTTCCCGGATAAGAAATGAATCCTACCTAATAGAGCGCATACGTTTTTTATGCACATTTTTAGAATTAACACGCATCTTGGTGTTTCCATCTATCCATAAAAGTAGGTGGATCACAACATAGCAAGTGACAAATCTGTCAACTGTCCCAAACATATTTCACGCTGGCCCCTGGCCATCGGGCAATCCTTATTGTCGAGCCCTGTCTTGGATGGCCTGAGTGAGTAAATGTTTAGCAAATTATTGGGTCATTTACTCCTAATAATAATTCATGTTAATTGCAAAGCATCATGGGAGGATGACATACACAAGTCTCTGGTGATGACCGATAACGGGACGTCAGGCAGCACCTCTTTCACCTGCTGCGCCATACGTGCTACTCGTGTGTCTTCAGCTCCTGCATTTGTGCCCAGGAAACCCTGTGCCACTGTGCGAGGTCTGGCACCTAAATCTGAAGACAAAAATAGTTTCATGTTACACTACAAGACATAATACATCTACTATACAGATTCAGTGATCTAACTTAATGGATATATACATCATAATTTCTTTCTCACCATTGAATCCGTTCTTACTTGAATGTGCAGTCTGAGCGGCAGTGTGTCTTTTCCTTTTGATGTGCTCGGCTTTGTCTGCTTTAGTGATCTGTGTGGAGATCACGCCCAGCTCGGTGGCCAGCAGCTGATGAAGGGACACAATGAAACGACACACCAAAAGAAGTCAAAGCTTTGAACTAGACAAGATATAGATCTGAGGGTTAGGCAGATGAAAAGCCATGTCAGCGGACAATAAGATAATGGTTTGTTTGAACATGTTCTTAATGGCAATTCAACTAAGTATGATATTACTGGAAAAT